TATTTCTCAAAAGGGGTTAGGGTACCGAATCTTAGAGAGAGCCAGCCATAAAATTTGTTTACAAAATAACGTTTAAGAAGATGAACATATTTTTACTAATCACCTGAGTATTTAGGATATAACATTTTAAAAATAATTTTGTTGTTATTAATATTTTGCATTTTTTTTTTAATTTTGATTTTTCTCACAACTTCAGAGGGGAAGATGTTTGGTTCGTTCCCCACTCCATCCCTGCTGGCTGCCATGCGACTGTATATTCTCTCTAAATTATCCACTTAATTTCACAACTTTTTCTAGGAAGAAAAAGTCAAAAGATTTTCGTGACCAAAGCTATGATGAATTGGTTAAGTCTTGTGTTCTCCTAAATCTGTTATTCCCGTTTTCGAGTCTCCCCCACTAATTTAATAAAACTGAAGGTAAAATATTATTTTTTTTTTGTGATTATCCGTTCTTACCACCGCATGGACGCCTGGTTCCGACATAGTGAAAAAATCAAAATTGCTTCTTTGAATTCGTGCGTGTTTATTGCTAAAAACTTAAAGTTTCTTTCGTCTGTGCAATTTTATTTCCTTCATATTATAATACTTCCCTAATCTCAGTCTTAACCTAGAAACTGCTGTTGGTCACGGAGAAATATCTGTTGCGAAATTACCGTGGCATAATTTGATTGATTGTAGTCACACAGACTGGCACAACCATTACACGAATTATACTGCATGTAATATTGACCGTGATACAACAATTCCGGTACAATCCGCAGATACAACTAATATGAACCAGGTTAAGCCCTTCTATACGAAATAACATATTTTGTAAGCATAATATTTATCATACCGGTCACGGTAGCCGAGCAGTCTGAGGCATGTACTGTCTTCGCTGGCTCGAAAGCCGGGATCATGAGTTCGAATCCCACAAAAGGCATAGATGTTTGGTATGTTTGTGTGCTTATGCTGTGTTTGTGTTGTCCTGTGTTTAGGTAGCGGCCTTGCGACGAGCTGATCACTCTTCCAAGGAGTCCTACCGTCTGGATCAAATGAAAAAAAAAAAGCAAGCTCGACACAGCAAAGGTACACGTATAAAGGAGGAACGGTTTAAGTAAGATATTGTGACGTGTTGGGTGTGTCACGCAACAAATAACTTCACGTAGTCCTCGGATTCAGCGGTCATTTTGTTTTACATTTACATAATCTTTACATTGTCACAGTCAATCCTTTTACTGTGGTCATTTCTCGACTTCACTCGGTGAATGCTAGACTTCAACTGCATTCTGCGGCGGCTTTCTTCAGACTGACTCGTTACCGCGGAAGTGCATTATTCCTGCTGGTTCAACAATCCGTTGCTTAGGAAGTGCAGTATTTCCCGTTGTTACTCAACGACAATTCGTTACTATGATCTGCCGCTGTGGGAAGTCCACAGTTTCCACGTATTCGTTGTCGTGGAAGTGTGCGTTCCGATTGTAGAGGTTGTCGCGGTGATGGACGTAAGATAACGCGTCACAATATTATCACTGCTACCAAAATTTCGGGTTACCATAACAACCAGTTGTCGAGAGTCAGTACGTTACATGAACATTAAGTTATGTAGTGGGTCACCAATGATGGCACAGTCTTTTATTTCAATGTATCGTGTCTATTTTGTGAATACTAATAATATTGTAACGTGTTTAGCCACTGAAGACGCCGTTCAGATTGTTAATTGGTTTATTTAATAACCTACAAGTCGTAACTACAATTGATTATAACACTGTTGCGGGGTTTCACACTTTATAACGCTATTCGCAATAATCTCTTCACTCTGTCCTCAGCAGTCTACGCGTTTTTACAGTACGGGAGCTAAACAAGTGTCACTGTATCACACACTCCCAATTACACAATTACACACACGTCCGGTTCTTCTTTCCGCGACTGCTGCTAGATTCCAACTCTGTTGCTCCGGCTCACACACTAACTCGTTCACTGCTGACTAGCTCGTAAATCAACTGTCAAGTCATAACTCGTAACTCGTAACTAACTGCTGGCTGGATTCCAACTCAACTCGTAGGCTGCTGCCTTGAGAACTGTCTTCGGCGGCTGTGTAGTTCCCTTATAAACCCTCAGCCGGACAACGGGAAAACAGTTACGTAATAGGCACCACTGTTGTCTGACGCCGTGTTTGCCGATAGCCTAGCAACGCTGTTGGGAGTTGTTTACGGCTACGTAGCAACTGCGGCGTCCCGTGTTACGTCACCGCTGTTTACTCGCTTTGCCTAGCAACCGCTGTTTACTCGCGTTGCATAGCGACCAGTGTGCTGGGACTCGGCTCACTTCGGCTTCGCTCGGCACGTCATAATATTTTGATGTGGATATGTGGTAAGTACGATACTATATACAGAGCAGTTTTACGATTGATTATTTGTGCTTGTTCTTCGTGGTAGATGAAGTAAAACGTCTGTCTCCACGTAAGACTGAAAAGGAATATGGCAGAAAACATGGGAATGTTACAAAACCTTGTCTAACAAATGCAGAGATTTCCTGTTGGATTCTCAACGGGTGTTACCTTAGTTATTAAAACATGAGGATGGGGGCAATATATTGTGGAGTATAAATCTGTTGCCAAGCAGTGACTCTGCGAACAGCGGCCGTTGATATGTAACGCCCGCAACATACACACATGCAACAATAGAAAAACGGTTTTTATGTGGTCCGCCATGCAACGGCGCGGTAAACACTGCTCAAAACAATAGAGAGTCTGTGTTTCCTGCGTGGTCCGTGCCGAGGAGTTATCTTTAAGACAACTGTCGCTACAGTTCAGTTGAAGGGTCGGGCGTGGTGTGTTAACCAGCGGGCAACAACGTGACCATGGAAGCTGAAGATTCTCCTTTGTTAAGGGCTGTTACCAAAAAACGACTACTGAAAGCAGACTGAGAAGACTTAGCCTGGAGTAATTTGGAGTGTGGAAATCTGCAATAGTTTTACAAGTATTTGTAGTTATGACCTGTAAAAGGTCAATAAATCTATTCACCATTCGAAACCTCGTCTACAGTCACATTTACACGTGACAATATTACTCCGAAACTTCGGTAGACTTCTACAGCCTCCCTTGCTGGACAGGTCAAAGGGTAGGCATCAGACGAAGAGAGACACCAAAAACCAAAAACTGATGCCGGAAGTAGCGTCATCAGCAGCGACTTGAAGCACAGAGCAAATGATGCGCGAGATGGTTCAAGTTCGCTTAGCAACAGGCGTGACCAGAGTTGTTTGAACGGTTGTACTGAGATGTGGAAAGCAAATGGAAAAACTACCACATTATCACTTTTCCTGGATAGTCTCTTTCCACAAACAGAGATACCATGTATGCGAGTTGTTTCCTCTGGAGACAAAACAAACCGGAGGGCGGATAGAAGTGACCAGAAGACGAGGAAGAAGACGTAAGAAGATGCTGGATGACCTTGGGGACAGAAGAGGATATTTTTATTTGAAGGAGAAAGCTTGTGATCGCATTAAGTGGAGGAACTGTTTTGGAAGAGACTGTGGACCTGTCGTCTGACAGATTACTGATGAATGAATGAACAACACAAAATAATAGTATTCACATTAATTAAGTAATCCTTAATTAAGCACAAAGACTTTATTCATTCGTTTTAAGTTCGTTATTTGACCGCCTCTGTGGTCTAACGGTCAGAGTCCCTGGCTACAAATCCAGATGTTCCGGGTTCGATTCTCGGCCTTGCCAGATTTTCTGATTAGTAGTGGGTCTGGAACGGGGTCCATTCAGCCTCGTGAGGATAATTGGGGAGCTATTTCAAGGAAATAGCGGTTCCGGTCTAGAAAACCGAAATTAACGGCCGTGGGGATCCGTTGCACTGCCCACGCGACACCCTCTAACCGCATAAGTTGGCATTAACTTCGCTGACAAGCGGCGGTCGCTCGGTCGGTATAATTCGCTTGCGGACTAGAGGCCACGTAGTTTTTAAGTTTGTTATCAACGATGCTGTCAATATCGAAACTGTACAGAGTCGATCACAGGATAATGAATGAATATTTTGCAGTTGACAGGAGGTACAGAAGTTCTTGGAAAAACCTCGCCCTAACCGCTTCGAGGACTTTCCTTTTCCTATAAACATATTAAAGAAACTTAGTATATAGGTCAAATGCAGCGAAAACAGGTCTGTGCGCCTTGCCGTAGGTCAGGCGGTTAGTCGCCGGCGTCCCACCTGGTTCGATCCCAGCTAAGGTCATGTAGTATTTATGGTGGATAAAATCATGCTGGGGCAGGATTTCTCCGAGTACTTTGGTTTCCCCTGCCAATTCTAATTCCGCCAACTGCTCCACATTCACTTACCATCTGACGCTATAGCGTCTCGATACTGGCGTCGTTAAATAACCCCTTAAAACACACGCTGACTAGACACGGGAGTTTGGCTGGTACATTTATAAATTGTGCCTTACAGGTAATGATAACGCTCTCACGAATTCAGACTCTTGACTGTGACTACACCACACGATAAGTCAAAGTCAAAGTTACGTGTATGTTACGACCAACGGTCAGTCGGACAGTCTCTCTTGTGTGTCAAGCCCCAAATTGGGTCCAAGACAAGATTTTTATTACTGTCAGACAGTCATGTTTTCTTCTTGTGGGGCCCCTTTTCTGATGAGCGGACGGGTCTGTCATTTACAATTGTTGCTGGTCCTCGCCAGTTCAGTCATTCTCTTGTCCAAGTAGCACTGGACTCATGACCACATTCTACTATATCATATTCAAGACTCCCCGAACGTAGAGGGCCGGGTTCCCGTATTTATATCCTCCAGGAATAGAGGCACATGCAAAGACTGACTGACTGACTGCAAAATTGTTGCTGGCCCTCGCCAGCACATTGATTCTCGTTTCCGAGTCATACGGGACTCATGAATATATTGTGACGTGTTGCGCTATGGATGACGCCCCTCCCTCCCCGCCAGCCGTGAGAATCTTACAAGACAATCTTCATACAGTGATTCAAGAGCTGCGACCACTGATGGAACATGCAAGAACTGCAGAAAGTCATGGTATTTCTCGGTCATGGCTTCGGACACCTCAACAACAAATGCAGAGCCAACAGCAGCCACCACCCCTGCCACCTAGATCACAACAGCCGCCACCACTGCCACCTAGATCACACCAGCAGTAACTCAACAACAACAACAACAACAACAACAAAAACAACATCAACAACAATACCAACATGGCTGGCAGATCCAACACTACAACTGCTGAAAATTTCCTTAATAACATCGGAGAAGCTGCAGCTGCACACCATACAGACCAGCACCAACAACAACAACAACAACAACAACAATAATGTGGAAGATGCTGCAGAAATGCTGCGTCAGAGTCCAGAATCAAGACAGTTCCTTTCCCTACTGCAAAAATGTGTTCCTTTCCTGGGTATTCTCACCAAAGTCACCTATGATCATGGTTCAGGTATTCTTACCTTCATTGGTTTGTCACCTTTAGTCATGCTAATGCAGTGGTAAAGCGGGAGATTGCCAAACAGAGTCGGCGTAGGCTGTCATCTTTGTTACTGATTGTCTGCAATCTCTTAGGATGCATTCTGTTCATCTACTACATGTTCCAAGACCAGAAGCTCTATCTGAGCCTGGTCTTCATTCCTCCATACACGCAGCCTCTCAGCGTTTGGGATGTACTGTGGATTGTGGGTGTGACAGACTTTGTACTCAAGTTAGTCACAATAATCCTAAAAGTTTCCATTGCAGCACTTCCTGTTTTTCTTCTACCCTACCAGAAAAGGGGAAAGTGCTACCTGTTTTTAGAAACCACATCTCAGCTATATCGGAGCCTGGCCCCAATCCAGCCATGGTTATACTACCTGCTGGAATCTCATCAGGGAACTGACAAGGTTGTTGGAGTATTCCTGTCTGCAGCATATATGGTGTCCAAGGGAACTGACCTTGTGAACAGAGTGAAACTCTGGCGAGGTGCTTTTTGGAAGTTGCTGCAGAATGTGAATCTTGGTGTGAGCCCAAACAAAGACCAGCTACCAACAGCTGGCAGTCAGTGCCCAATCTGCCACGATGAACATGAAACTCCAGTTCTCCTCCATTGTCATCATATCTTCTGTGAAGCACGCATTGCTACGTGGTTTGACAGAGAGCAGACATGCCCTCTCTGTAACGCTAATGTTGTAGATGACCCATCATGGAGAGATGGTGCTACAACATATTTTACCCAGCTTTATTGATATCTCTCTGTTCCATTACCCTGGCGAGTTAGATGTAATGTATTCTTGCAAGATGTAAGCTCCTAGTCATTGGGGAGTTTGACAAGAAAACTGTTGTGTATATGTGGATAATAAAAAAACTGAACTGAATCAAATTGGCAAGTGATTGAGCAGTAAACACACTTCCAGGTTTGCCTGTATCATAGTCATGAGTACTGATTGCTTGTAATTAAAACAGTTTGCATTTCATCAAACTGCTATTAAATTAGATGAATTCAGAGGCAGAGATTTTATTTTTTGGTTCTGAACCTGTTTATATGATCAGTAGACACTCTGATCTAGAAGGATCATTTATATTTCAAGAGAAAAAAATGCCATTATTAAAAGGCAAGATAAAAAACAAAAAATTGTGGAAAGAACTTACAGTACCTACTTTCCTTTAAAGTCTTCCATCTATATAAAAATTATATTGGAAGTGCTGATAATTATACTATTTAACGGTATATCTTTAGGTAAAGTTTCCATCAGTGTAACTTACTTTGTCTCTCTTTGAAAATTGTTAGGCATAACACCAGTGAGAGTAACACACAGACATGCACATGGACATGATACTATAGGCCTTATTTTTGTTATAAAAGTGAAAAAGCAGGATCAAAGTGGGTATGCTTGACAAGGAACTTGCTCCATTTGAGGAAAATATATTGAAATTTTAGCTGAAATATATGACCCCAATTTGACACGACTTTTTTAATGTTATACTTTAAACTGGTAATAAAAATATAGTGATTGTTTCATGTAACCACAGTATAAGAACATAAATTTTTGTCATGGTTTATATAAAATTAAACAGCAGCTGTTTCAGAGCTCTAAGAAACTACAGGTGTGATTGCTTGATAATAATATTACTAGCAATGTACATTAGATTCCACACCTATTAAAAAGTTCTATTTTGATTTACATTTTTAGAAGTGGTGGAACCCATTTAAGGAGAAAGATTTGTTTTAGATATTAAATTGAAAACACCATTTAAGTGTTGTGTAAAATAGTGAACATATAGACAGAATGATACATACTTGTATATTGAATAATCATAAAAATGCGAAGAGAGCGCTAGAACACTTTCAGCATCGGATGGTATTTATGCCCACAGTGCAGATTTATCAGCACAAAGTGTAGGTAAGGCTGAGCTTTATGATCTGAGTTTCTCACAGTAATTAGTTTTTTTGTGAATGTTTTTAGTATGCAAGAAACTTATGACTTGGAGAACTATACTGCATTATCTCCAAGGTGAAAGATGACAACTGGAAGTTCTCGTAATGTTGTCAGAAGTGTATATTCACATGCCTCTGGCGGTGGGTTCAGTCACTGAATGATTAAGACTACATTGCTTGGTTGACTACTGGATGACTACTATCCTGTGCTGGCAAGCAATTCAAACCATGTAACGTTCCCTGTGCTAAGTTGATACATTAGCCTTCTTACAACAAGGATAAGGACAGAGCTTGGGTACTGGTCTTGTATCAGTCCCAGATTTAGTTTTAATAGTTACAACTTGAACTAGTCCATTACATCCCAGAAATCTCCAGTTTTCCATTTCCATGTTAGGTAGTGGTACAAAAAGTATTTGATGTTGCTAAATGACTCTTAGTGCAGGGAATGTCTACAGATGCTGGAAGTGCGCTTTTATAATATTTTAAGCAGTTAATTGTCATATGTATTTTATTCACCTTTTTCCGAAAGAGTAAACTTAAATACAGTAGAACTTGGTTATAACGTCATCAAAGGGACCTAAAAATAGTGTCGTTATAAACGAATGTCGTTGTAACCGAAATGGGCACTTCCACAGTAGCCTTATGTTAGTCACGTAAAAATCTACCAAAAACCGAGTTAAAATGTTGCATTTTTTTAGTGAAATACGTAGTTAAGTACAGACTAACGTAACATTAACGTGGAATTGCCCAAATGTGTAATATCAAAGACATATTACAGCGCTTTTCACTGACAATACACACCGCACTAATACTGTATATTAAAGGTAGGCCTACTCACCAAATTACAGTAGATTACATCAATTGTTGTGCCTTACTGTACCTAGATACGAGTACAGTAATCAGTTATCTTCATCTGTTTCCTGTTACTTGCCCAATACACACTTTCTAAATTACGTTCAATGTCGATATCAGAGAAATTCAGGAATGAAAATGACGTTACATACGAGGTTGATGCATTTGTGCATGTCGTACTAAGCAAGGTATAAAAACAGTTGCTTTATGAGGAATTAGTTCGTACCATTGAATATGTGACGCAATAGACAAGGTGTCGCAGAAACCGATGTTGCTATAACCAAGTTTTACTGTATTTAGTTTTTCTAATATTATTGTGGCATATTTTACTCTCTGACGGTTCTGGAAGCCACCGCACTCTCTCTCGACTCAAGTAAGAGTCAGAGTTACTTCACGACTGGCGGTTTACCTCCAATCAGTTCGTCTTTGCGACAAGGTCCTTGAGATCCACGACCAGAATTTTATTTTCCAACTGAACACTTGCGGTTATAGTCCTTAAGTAACATCCTCTGTGACGAGAGGATGGATCTGTCGTTTACAATTGCTGCTGGGCTTCGCCAGCACAGTCATTCTCAGGTCCGAGTCCCGAGGGACTAATGACCACATATTACTGTCTCAGATTCAAGACTCCCCCAACCTGGAGGGCTGGGTCCTCGTATTTATATCCCCAGGAACAGAGTAGCCCGGTTATACCCCCAGGCACTGGGTTCCACTTCGTCGGCTCCTACGACTCATAGAGCTACGGTTGAGGCATTCGAACCCGCATCCACAAGCGACCTTATAGGAAAAACCACCTCCAAGTGTTCCTCTATTATTGGGTGCGTGTTCGTTGCCTAGCAATTTTGCCGTTGCCTCGGAACGGACCTTGTAATCACGTCACAGTGTTAAAGGAGTGGACGGTCTTTTCAAAACGCAGCGCAGTAACGCCCTTCTCTTCGATTCTTGGTCATGGCTATCAGTTCCGTTCGAGGTGGCAGTAGAGACTCGTTATACAGTCTGTGACTATCACATCGCTGCATGAGGGAGCACGAGACTGTTCTCAGAACTGCGATCCACCCCACTCCATTAAGTACTTCTGAGAACTTGTAGGCCAGTAAATCCAGGAAGTGTGTTACACAGAGGACCAAAGAGATATACTTAATGCACCCACCCACTTCCCCTGGTGAGGTGGGAGAGCACGCGGTAGCGCAGTTGGTTGGGGCACTATGCTACAAGCTGGAAGGTCGCGGGTTCTATTCCCGATGAGAAAATTGAATTTTCAATTGAACTAATCATTCCAGCCGCACTATGGCCCTGAGGTCGACTCAGCCTCTAACAGAAATGAGTACCAGGAATCTTCTTGGGAGTAAAGGGCGGCCGGCGCGTAAGGCTGACAACCTCACCGCCATCTGTGAGCCGATTGTCTGGAAAATGTGGGAGCCTCGATGTCTCAAAACCCTATGGGCCTCCGTCTCCTGTTAAGGTAGCGCTACGCTATGTTCGCTACGTACGCTGCGTACGCTGTGTACACTCTGCGACGCAGCTAACATAGGGAACATAGCGTACGTAGCGTACGGAAGTCCTGTGTGGCCAGTCACATTGGCAATAAAGGGAGATATTTTTCTGTTCGTATAGCGAACATAGCGTACGTAGCGTGCGTCACGTACGTAGCGCTCTGGGTGGCCGAACTTTTACAGGGCTAGCCTTACCTTACTCTCATATTTCATTTCGCATGAGTATGTGAATGGATGAATTTGCTAGATGAGTTACACAGTTTTCACTTTCGTGTGTCGGAGTTTGACTCCTTGGTCCTACCCTGCATATTCCATCTTAAATTACTATTCATATAAGAAAAGGTCAAGTTTTCCCTGTGTTAGGCCGCGCCATAGCTCATGCGGTTAGCCGCTGGTTTCCCACCGCGGCGGCCCCGGTTCGATCCCGGGTCTGGTCAAGTGGGATTTGTGGTGGACAAAGTGGCGCTGGGGCGGGTTTTCTCCGAGTACTTCGGTTTCCCCTGACAATCTTCAGTCCACCAAATTCTCCATCATCATAATCCCCCGGGGCAGGCAATTTCCCTGTGTTCAACTAATTAAACACTACGCTATGAAGACATAAGGGGAAGTAGATGCATAGATCCACGTATTCTTGACCCCGGTAGTCATTGGAGGTGAGCGGCCAGATTCATACCCACACCGCTTTACCCCAGGGGAAAAACGCCGCGGTACCCATTGGATAGAAAGCAAGGAGGGCCCCAGAACCGGTCGGGACGACGTAGCAGATAAACGTTGCCCCTACCGACACTCGAAATCCTACCCCTCGGTCGTCCAGCCAGTAGCCAGTCACTATACCGACTGAGCTCATATATTCTATGCTGGATTTAAATTCTCAATGCGTTGTCCATGCCGAATACGGGTTTGTAGGTTATAAACCAGTGTCATTTGTATGCAGAAGGTGCTCTGTTGGGACAGGTTTTTTTTTCGTGTTTCTTCTCAGTATCTCCAAGAAAATCCTGGAAAGTGACCCAGTTAGGTAGTTAGTTAGTTATTGGAGAGGGTGGGTTTCCCCATGCACTGAGACCTGTATTGGTCCATTGTGCTTCCCTCTATGATTTCTACCAGTCTCTATATCCTACCGGTACTGGTGCTTACCATCAGTCCCACCCAGCCAGCGAGACCGGCTCTACTAGCTGAGAGGTATCTATAATGCTTCCCCCATCTACCAGAGGTATTAGAGACTGCTGATGGGCGGGAAACGTCCGTAAATTGGCTCAGTGACCTCCTTTGGAGATATGAGGTTCTTTTACGTGCCGTAAATCTACGACACGGGACCCACGGCTTAAAGTCCCTCCCGGAGGACTTGTTCCCTGAATTTTTCCGCCCTTAAAAATTCCACGACCTCCGCCGGGTTTGAACCCGCGTACTACGAGTCATGAGGTGGGAACGTTACCTCTAGACTATGGAGGCCGCTTAAAGTGACCCA